CTATTTTGTGCTCTTATTTTGCAGACCAATCTTTTTAGATAATTGAGTACTCTGAAATCTATGAGATGATATATGTACAATTTTGATATCTTCAATAGTTTGAATTCAGATTTCTGCTTCTACAGTTTATAGACAGTCTATCCATCATTTCATGACTTCTTCAGCCCTTCATCCAACTCCACATTTCCTCAGCTTCAGCTGACCATTTCTGCTTTGGTGTTCTTTTTTTAAAAGAGTTTTATTAAAATATAGCTAATACACAATATTCTATAAGTTTCAGGTGTACACCATAGTTATTCAACATTTATATACCAAAAGAAGTGATCACCATGATAAGTCTGACACTGTGCAATGCTATCACAATATTATTGACTATATGCCTGATGCTGTACACCACATCCCCATGACTCGTTTTATTCCTAGAAGTTTTAACCTTTATTCCTCTTTACCTTTTTCCCCCTTTTTGATTTTTTAATTACAGACGACATTCAATATTTTATACGAGTTTCAGGTACACAGCATAGTAGTTAGACATTTATGTAGTTTACAAAGTAATCTCACTGACTAATAATTTAATTTTGTTTTGTTCCATGGAGGTATAAATTCCAGAATCAGGCCATGATCTTTGATTTGTTCTACACTATCCACTTAGGCGATTACATACACTTTTGAAAAATTTTACTTCCAGTGTCATGCAAGAAGCACCTCCTAAAAAATATATCAAACAATTGTCCAAGGGAGCTAGAGTTCATAGGGAAAAGTACCAGGAGATAGAGCCACAGAGAGACATAAACTATAATGGAGATCTGCAGTCTTCCATCCGAATATTGTTCAGTGCTTACATGGGAGGAAATTACCTGAAACTAGGGCAAGACCACCAAAGAAGCTTAGAGGAAATAATCTCTAGTACTCACACAAAGCTGGGGATAGTCTATATTCCCACAAGCTAGACTGGAAAGCTTCATAACTCATGAGTCATCAGATAGATTTTTATCAGAAATATTTTTAGTTGGTAGTGGTAACAAATCAAGCCTAAACTAAAAGCTGCTCTAGTCCTGACTAATAAAGCCTAAAAGCAAACTCCAAAAGGATTAAACTGTTCTAGCAACTTAATCATATCCTAGGACAAAGCTCAAGAATATATAAAGATACAGAAGTATCCACTACCCTAAAGTAAAATTCAACATATCGACTGGGAGAATGGTGTGAAGGATTAAAGAAGTACAAATTAATAGTTGATAGATGGTCACAAGGATAGGGAGCATGGCATAGGGAATGCAGGTGGCATTAATGTAATAGTGAGGTGTAGAGCCGGAAGAAAGAAAGAGCAATTAAGGGGATTATTTTAACTGTATAAATATCTAAACAATGTACTATATACTTGAAACTAATAAAATAAAACTTTTTTTTAAATCGAGCATTCAATCAAAAATTGCCAGGAAAATAGACATAATTTAAAAAATCAAAACCAATAAAAATGTACAGATAAAATTAGCATATAAAGATATTAAGCAATTATTATATATACTATATGTTCAAGAGGATAAAGAAAAGATTGAGCATGTTAAATAGAGGCATCAGAAAATATAAAAAGTATCCAAATCAAACTTTCAGGGATGAAAAATCACGGTATCTGAAATAAAAAATCCAATAGAGGGAAATAACAGGCACAATGGTGATACAGATACATCCTACGTACAATACCACATGAAATGACATGCAAGGAGTTTTGGTTATTTCTAATGTGGTTGCTAAAATGTAGACCGAAGCTTGCCTTCCTTCTTTTGTTAATATGTATTCTAACTCAGGCATTTGGCCATTTCAAAGCCATCAATGGGCTAGGGCTGTCCTGGCTAAAATTGATGTCTGAGTCAGTCAAGGATTCGTGCAGAGGCATTGTTTGGGGAACTTAACTGACAATTACTCAGACTCTTGAAAATCCAGAACTAGGATGCGAGAATAGTTCAAGTGTTGCAATTAAATTTGGATTTGTGCAAATACAATTTTGGTACTGTTTTGCTTTGTTATATAATGGCAAAACTTCAAGTCTAAAAATAGCATGTAGATATTATCTCATGAATGTTGCGTTTCATCTAAGCACAGTGTGTAGATATAGGAAATAATTCCTTTGACTATTTGTAAATAAAGCTAACAGTCATAGTGTTTTACATGGTACTTGAATTCATATACTGTTGACTTCTATGTGAGATGAAATCACTCTCTAGAGGGTATGAGTTTTCAGCTGAAAGTCAAGGTCATTCCTATACCAAACATAGGGAAAAAACAAATCTTGCAGCCTGGAAATATTTTTAATCCATTATACTATATTCAATTTATTAATTAAAAATGACAAATAAACAATTCATCCCAAGAAAGCACTATGGAAAACACCACAAAGTATCTACAGCACACAATAATGAAATGTATCTCATATATCTGAAAATTGGCTGAGACGACTTTGCTGATCTCAGTTGAATTGCTCGTCCACCTGCAGGTCAGCTGGGCACGTGTTGATCCAAGATGAGGCAGCTCGGCTCCACTTTCTCACATCCTTCTTAGACCAGTGAGTTAACCAGGGCACAGTCTCATGGCACAGCAGAGTCAGAAGACAAGTCCCACTACACAAGCAAATTTCAAGCCTCTGTTTGCACCACATCTGCTAATACCCCAATGACCAAAGTTGTGCAGATGGCCAACCCCATAGTCAATATGTGGAGATGTATACTCTGGAAGAGTGAACATTTTTTTTTTATGGTGACATTGGTTAACAAAATCCAATAAGTTTCAGCTGTAAACTTTATTTTTTTTAATTAATTTATTTTTTTATGGTGACATTGGTTAACGAAATCCAATAAGTTTCAGCTGTACATTTTAACAGTAAGGCATATATATATTTACACTGTGTGTTCACCTCTCATAGTTAGATTTCTTTTCTGTTACCACATATTTGACCCCGTCTACCTCCCCCCTCGCCCCCTACCCTCTGGTAACCACTAGTCTATTGTCCATGTCCACGAGTCTGTTTGTTTGTCCTGTTCATTTGTTGCTTTTAGGTTTATATCCCACATATAAGTGATATCATGTGATTTTCAATGTTTTCTGTCTGGCTTATCTCGCTTAGCATGATTATCTCGCAGTCCATCCGTGATGTTGCAGATGTCAGTATTTCATCAAAGAGTTAACATTTTTTAACAGATCTATCACACAGAATTCCCCATCTCTACTGAGGAAGAACAAATAGCTCAGGGAACAGAGTCAGAAGCTCTTGGTTTATACCACTTTCTTCTTTGCCCCACCTTAATGTCTGGAGGACTGGGACACTTGGGAATTGTCCAGAGACCTCTTGAAACCATATCCTTCAGGGGCACCTAATGAGACAAGCTGTGACATGGTCCTGGAGGGCCTGGAGATGCTTTCTCAGAGCCTATTGGATTTTCTTATTCTTAGAATTGGAGAAACTCCTATTAATTATTACTAAGGAAAGAAAAGAGTCACATAATAAAAAAGACAATAACATCATTGTAAAAAAGGCCTTCGAGAAAAACTGTATGAGAGCGTCTTTAAAAACTAACTGAAGGAGTGTTCAATTACAAGAGTTCACGTAAGGAGACAAAGTAAGCAGAAAGATAAGTGAAATTCAGTAAATTCAGTGATAAGATATGCTAGAAGAAGAAATAGTGGATTTTCTTTATTTTTCTTTAAATACTCAGAGGCTTGATCTGTTGTGAGTTGGAGTGAAAGAAAAAGCTCACAATTCGAACAATCAGCTTTCTCTTGGTTATGCTATGATATACCTCCCAAATCTCAGTGGTTTACTGCAAAAATAACAAAATCATCCTTGCTCACATTGTATGAACATTGTGGGTCAGCTGTGGCTATGATCCAGGCTGAGAGTCAGATTCACATTTCCATTTATCTTCTCCATCATGGGTCTAGGTTGAAGGAAAAACTCCAATTGGCAACATGCTCGTTTTTGTAGCAAAGGTGAAAAGCAAAAGAGACTGAGCTAAGCTACATAAGCATATTTTAAAGTTTCTGATTTAAAGTTTCCAATTATTGTGACACATTTCAATGCCACTCAAATTCCATTGGCCAAAAAAAAATTCACATAGAAAGATTTAACATTTCCAGAGTGAGGAAATTCCCCTCCCATGGGAAAGAAACAGGATAGTAAATAACTGAGTAATATAGTCTATTACAACTACATATTATAACTATTTTCTTTAGCTTCGGAAGTCTCAACTTTAAGAGGGAAAGGTATTTCCTTAGTTCATAGCACAAAGGTGGTACTCAGCTCTTCTATTCATTTATTCAATAAATATTACTGTTTGGGGAGACAAAAAAACATATGCATGTGAAAAATTAGTTACACAATATAAATTCTTATAAAGGATGTCAACAGGCTCTTTTGCTAATTGTTCAATAAATAAATTGGCCATTAATATGGGACAGAAAGGAACTAACTTGAAGGAATAAGTCTCCTTAGAGGAGTAGCTATCCAACTCTAAAGCCAATAACTGGGTGGTAGGGGGGTAAAGAGTGGCAGAGACTGGGGGTCACCTAACAAAAGAGATATAAGGGCAATTATAGTATTAGATGTGGTATTAGCCTTTGGGTCACAAAATTTGTGGTCCCATTCCTCACTCATCACCTGGATGAAAAGTTCATCAAAAGCTCAGCCCCCTGTGCCAATCTCAGCCACTAGTCCATTGTCTTTCATCTAGATGACAATAGCATTTTGAAAGGTTTTGTTTTCCTGAATCATGTAATAGTAAGTCAATGAGAATAGGAAGGTCAAACCCACACTATCAGACTATGGGGACACATCTGGTTTGATCTGATTGGTGGATCTGTGATAATGGGACCTCATTTTCCTTGTCATACTAGAGAATTGCCAAACATGGAGACTCCGCAATTTTTCTACTTGAGATCTTTCCTCTCTGCCTTTATCCAGCATCCACTCAGTACTGAACTGGTAGTTAAGGAAAAAAAGTATCCATTTACACATCCTTTCTCCCGAATAGACTGAGCACATGATCACGAATCTGCTTGGTCTTGACCCCATAGATGATAGGATTGACCATGGGTGGGAAAAGAAGATAGAAGATAGCAAGAAGTATGTGGACATGAGGGGCAGCTCGGCGAGCCACACGGTGCATGACTGAGGAGACGACCACAGGTGTGTAGAAGGCTAAGATGGCACCTATGTGAGACACACATGTTCCAAAGGCTTTGTAGCGGGCCTCCTGAGAGGCAAGCTGTAGAACTGCCCGAAGGATGAAGATATAAGACAGGATAACAAAGAGCAGGTCCAACACCACAATAAACATGGCCACGGCAATGCCATAGATATTGTTGAAGCGAGTGTCCCCACAGGCCAGCCTTACCACAGCCATGTGCTCACAGTAGCAGTGGGCAATGATGGGGCCTCGGCAGTAGTGGAAGCGTCTGAGCAAAAAGGGGAGTGGAGTCATTAATGCCACAGCCCGAATCACAGCAGCCATGCCAATCTTGGTAATAAGGGGCCTGGTGAGGACCGTGGTGTAGTGCAGTGGCTTGCAAATGGCCACATAGCGGTCAAAGGCCATGGCTAGCAGCACTGCTGACTCCATGATAGAGAAGGAGTGAAGAAAGAACATCTGGACCAGACAGGCAGAGAAGTTGATCTCCTGATCTCTGAACCAAAAAATAGCCAGCATTTTGGGAAGTGTTGAAGAAGAAAGGACTACATCAATGGTTGACAACATGGCCAGAAAGAAGTACATGGGCTCATGGAGGGCTGCCTCAGCTTGGATGATGAAGAGAAGAGTGCAGTTGCCAAGCAGGGCCAGAGTATAGGCTGGGCAG